TTGTATGGGATGAAAGTCTATGGATAGACCAGATGCTACTTAAATATTTCAAACATAACTGTTTCTGATTTTTTAAATTTACTTGATCATCAGAATATCCAGACTAAATGTATTTAAAGACAGGGTTAATATGAATATGTGAAATAAAGCTGTCTGATGAACTTTATCTTTTTGTACACATTCATAGATAATTTCCAAAAAAAAATCACTCCTGATGGCCACTAAAATAATACTTCCCAAGTGCACCAAACCCTAGGGTTTAAAATTAGAGTTGCAACCCTGAAGTTGCAAAGCCTGCATCTGTGAAAATGCCCTAGGATTGACACAAACCTCAATTCATTTAATGGGGTTTAATTTTGGCTTCAGACTTTGACCTTGGGGAATACAGCTTTCTTGAGTTTCTGTGCTCCACCAGTCAAATTACTTGATTCCCTTCAGCTACATTATAACTGAAAACTATGTGCATCACTTATATTCTTTGTCCCGTATTCACCATCACAATCACAAGGGCAGATAAATGAAGAGAAGCCTCTGTGATTGGGTAGGGAGTGACATGAGAGAAGTCTCTTCTGTGCTCTTTTCAGAACCTGAATGTTTTCTGCTGCATTTGTGAGTTAAAGTGACAGGACAAAGATGAATTTCAGATGATAAGTATCTTGAGCTTCTCTTCCTGAAATATTCTATTTTCCTTCACTCATGGTGACCTACAAATAGAAAAAAAAATTGTTTGTGCTTTTTGTAGTTTGGCTCTAGAAATATTAATTTCCCTATGCATGGACATTCCTGGATCAAAGATGACTTCTTATGCCGTGGTAAGACAAAAACTAGAAGACGACTTTTCTTCCAGGAAAAGTCAGACCTCCCTGACTCCTCTGCTCGTTCTCCTTATTCCTACATGGAGACCTCTAGGTCCAATTCCTTCACCTTATCTAATCTTCCATGCCTGGCTCTTTCAGGCAAGCCTTTTTTACCTTGAAGCCTCTCCTTTCCTTTTTCCTTGTGCTAGAGGCTGTGTTCTGGACCCTTAGGGTTTTGTCAATTTTACCTTCTCCGAGACTCTCCAGCCACTCTTATAATCCACTAACTAATCCACTCTATGTTCTCTGAAGTACTGAGAATACACTGGCTATAAAAACTGCATTGATCTGGGAAACTGAGACCAAGAGCTAAGAGGTTCCCAATCCAAGGAGGAGTAAAGTCACATCAAAGTAAATGATGAGATTTTAGTGACATAGAATCTTTCTCCTCTTCTAGACTTTAAATGTAGTTGCTATAAAGAGATTTTTGGCTCTTATTTTTTTAATAGTTTTATTAGTGCATTATAGTTATTCATTATAGTAAGGTTCATTTGACATAATCATGCATGCATGGAATGTAATGGGCTCCATTTCAGTCTCCAACACTTCCTCTTTCCCTCCCCTCTCCTCCCTTCCTATTTCCCTTCCTCTGTTCTACTGGTCTTCCTTCTATTTATTTATTCATGCTTTATAGACATGCATGAAGGTGAAATTCATTGTGGTATATTCATATATGCACATAGTATAAAATTGCAATTTCATTTCAGAGTTCCCTTCTGTGGGAGGACCCCTTTTCTGTCTCTCCTCTCTCCCTCAGCCCCCTTCCTCTATTCCACTGCTCTCCCATCTATTGTCATGAGACTTCTCCACTCTTTTCTCCCTTATTTTCCTCCAGCTTCCACTCATAAAAAATAACATTCAGTCCTTGACCTTCTGAGTCTGGCAAATGCCATATTTTCATTCTTTTTTATGGCTGGGTAAAACCCGATTGTGTATATAGACCACATTTTCTTTGTACATTCATCTGTTGATGGGCACCTGGGATGGTTTCATAATTTGGCTATTGTGAATTGCACTGTATAAACATTGATGTGCCTGTATCAAATTTTCTCTATTTCAGTTCTTATTAACCACACTATCAACTCTGGTCAACAAAGCTATTGGTGGTTTTAAAAAAAAAAAGGAGGATAGGGCATTAGTCAGAGAAGAATTCAAGGAAAGTCTTGGGATTTATGAGGCTTGTTCTATGCATACAGAGCCTATGCATTGTGGCCTATTTTAGATACCCAAGGATACCCAAAGTCTTTCTATTCTTCTGAGTATTTTATATTCTCCAAATTAGTTACCTAGACCATTTCTGCCTTCTAGCACTCAACTTGTCTTACATTAACCCATGTATCTGTTCTGTAATTTATGCAGTTAACTAGCATTTTCTGCATAATTACAGGAGATCAAATGGTCAAATTGTGAGACATTTCTCCTTGGAATGTCCTCCATTACCTGTATCCATGGAAATTTTATAAGATCACAGGACCTAAAGGAATTAATAATATTAAATGATATAAATACATTTTATCCTCAGAACTGATTGGATTTTACATTTGAGTAGATATGAAGTAGAATTAATTCAAGGTGATATAAATGTAGACATAAATCATAGGATGGAAGGTGGAAATTGTCAAGGTTTTTTTAAAAGTGATTCAGAAAATGCAGGCTCTTGTTCACTTCTTTTTAAGATGATAAATACAAGATACCAAAAAGAGACCTGTCTGACATGTTCAAACACAGTTATCCAAGTAAATTGATAAATAACACCTAAATAACAGGATTTCATTGGACCCCACTCTTGATTTTCCCTGTGTAAACACCCAGGTTTTCCTTCTCTTCTTCTTTTACTAACTTTAAAAAATAGATATTTAGTTTCAATTTAAATCAAGGTAGCAGTGTGTCCTTTTGGAAGGCGAGTGAGCAGAGTTTGTAATGAGTGTCAACCTCTCCCTGCAAGGTTAAAATGATACTCTGTCTTCACTTGGTCACAATTAGATGAGCTATGTTGTGAACCAAGGAACCCTGCCATTGAGCTTCCACCTGGCTTACTGAGAGGTTGTGTAGAACCTTATCATGGAAAAGAGGTTTTTAAACATGTATCTCTTACTCAAAATTTCCCCAACATCCCTTATATATGTTAGATATGACTTAAGACTAAGTGCTCAGGATCTAAACGGAACTCTGTTCAGCTCTACATTGAGAGTAAATATGGAAACATTAAAGTTAATATCTGATCAAAAAAAGTAATTCCAAATGCTGAGGAGAGTCTTTGCTACTAAAGAACACAGAGGAATTTGTTATTTCAACAGAATTATAAAGAAGAAAATTTGACTTTTTCATCTTATCATTCACCCTCACTGATGACTGAATTTAATTTGAGCCTCCATCCTGGGCTGCAAATTAGTCATCAGATGAAACCAAGAGGTAACTTGAATATGGGTTTCCAGTAAAGATCTGAAGTATGGAAACTTGTCTAAATCCTCAAAGGGGAAAGCCTGGAAGAACAAATACAAAGACATTCCAATGGTCCAGCAAGAATAGAATCTTGTTGGACCATTGGACCATAGAATCAATGTCAGACTGCAGTATCAGGTAAAATCTGAGGGATTCAGAGTAGATTTAGAGTTACATTGCACTTACAAGATTATTGTAAGGAACTACTACACAAGGCAAGAGAGCTCATTAAGGAGTAGTCTGTGTATACAATGATATTCCAGGTTTTAAGTTGGATGTGAAAAAAATTAACAAGGGAAATAGATCATCCCCAATGTTGGAAAGTACAATAGGGAAACCAGGACAAATAAGTGCATTCACACAATAGTTCTAGACAGATCAAGCAAGGTCATTTACCTAATATTCTAAGTAGGCAGACTTATGCAAAGTAAATCCACAAATATTTGAATAGTTAAAAAGATAGATGACTGAATTGACTCAGTGAATAAAAGCATGAATAAATAAAAGATTAGATGGATAAATAATGGATAAAATGTTACATAAGTTATGAAATTTAGATAAGTTGTTAGATGAATAAGATCATGGTTTCAAACAATCCCCAGTTAAGGACAACAATCAGCTAATAGGTGTGAGCTGCACTCTGAGGAAAGAAATATTTAGATGCTATTTGAAGATGAGTCTTCTGTTAGTCCTTCAAAACCACTATTAAGTGAAACCTTAAAATCCACATCTTTCCTTTCCCCACCATTTACAAGTCTCCCTCAAAATTTGATTTTGCTTTTGTTTTGTTTTGTTTTGTTTTGTTTGCAGTGGTGTAATCAAACCCAAGACTTTTGCATGCTAGGCAAGCACCCTACCACTAAGCCATATCCCAAGCATGGTTTATTTCTGAAACTAGAATTCAAGCTGTAGATATCCCTTGAGAAGAAATGTACATAGTATGTCCTATTTACTTTATCCTATCATTCTTTCTACATTCAACAAATATTGCTGAAGACCCACTATGTGCCCCTCAGTCTGCGATGTGTGCAGGATTTAAGATAAATAGATGATTGGATAATAACCCTTATAGTCCAGAGACAGGTAAGTGGATTGGTGAAAAAAAGAATTGCTACTCACCTCCTACTAAAATCCAGGGCAAGATAGACATCCAAGTGAAAGTACAAAAATAGTGAAGAAAGAAAGAGGTGAAATTGTCCTCTGAGTCAACATAATGAAATATATCAGAGACATATGACAAGTACAAATACAGTAGCTAGAGAGTTTCAGTCAGTAGTACTGAGCAACTGCAAGAAGTAATGAAGGTTTGGGCAACTGAGGAAAACAAAGAAAGAACAACTTCTTTGGAAATATACTAGATTAAAAAATTCACTTTAATTTTTACAGCATAAAAGCAAAGACCAGTCAAAGAAGATAAAGTCAATTAATCATGGAAAAATCTGGAAAACAGTGAATTTATTTTGGGGTTATTTAGGTTAGAAGAGTCACGTAGAGAAAGAGCACCAGTGTACTGATTTCACATTCAGAAGTTGCTAAGGAGGCAAGTGGGTGAGAAAAGAGTTCTGGGATGGAAGGAAAATAGGTAGGAAATCTGTGAAGGAGACAAGTTGGGGGAGTGATGAGGTAGAAACTCAGAGGTGGCATGAGGAGTGACCACTGCTTCACCTTTTTTTCTTTGTTCCAGAGGAAATGTCCTCTATAATGGCCACAGGAAACCACAGCATTGTAACTGAGTTCATCCTCCTGGGACTGCCTGCTCAGCCACACATCCAGGCGTTGCTCTTTGTGCTGTTCTTGGGGGTTTACCTTCTGACCTTCACGGGGAACCTGTTGATGATACTGGTGATCAGGACTGATTCTCAGATCCATGCCCCCATGTACTTCTTCCTCAGTCACCTCTCTTTCCTGGATCTTTGCTTAACATCAGTCATTGTGCCCAAAATGTTGGACAATCTTCTGTCCCAGAGAAAATCAATCTCAGTAGAAGGCTGCCTGACTCAGGTTTTTTTTATATTTTCCACCGCAGGAATTGAAGCTTTTCTGCTCTCAGTGATGGCCTATGACCGTTATGCTGCCATCTGCCACCCCCTGCTCTATGGCCAGATGATGACCAGACAGTTGTGTGGGGGTCTGGTATGGGCCTCATGGGGACTGGGCTTTCTGGATGCTCTCATTAACACCCTCATGGCTTGGAATTTGGACTTCTGTGAGGCTCGTGTCATGCCTCACTTCAGCTGTGAGCTGCCCTCTCTGTTTTCTCTGTCCTGCTCTGATGTCTCTGCCAACTTTGCAGTCCTGCTGGGCTCCACCCTCCTGCATGCCCTTGGGACCTTCCTTTTGGTCTTTTTCTCTTACACCCGCATTGTCTCCACTATCCTGAGCATCAGCTCCACTACAGGCAGAAGCAAGGCCTTCTCCACCTGCTCCTCTCATCTCACTACTGTGATTTTGTTCTATGGATCTGGTTCTCTTCGCTATCTCATACCAACCTTAAGTTCTCCGATGGACTTGATTTTTTCCATCCAGTACAGTGTGGTCACTCCCCTAGTGAATCCCTTTGTCTACAGCCTGAAGAACAAGGAAGTAAAAGCATCTCTGAATAGAATGTTGAGAAAGGTTTGCAACATTTTAGATAGCAGAGGTCAGGCAGGGAATGATTGGAAAACAGAGTAAAAATGCATCAAGATGGGTAGATAGCAATCATTAGAGAAACTTTTTTAAAATTAATATCAGATACAACAAAATATCTTGGAAGGGGACTCTCTGGAATCCTCAAAGAAAGGTCAAGAGGCACTTCCTTGCTTTGGCTCATATTTAATGCTCAGAGACAATGGGTCAGATAATTATTTCAATCTAGAAGACTGGTGACAAACTTATTCTGTAAGAAGAAACTTTTATGAAACATTCTCATAAGGCTTATCTTTGAAAAAGTTATCTACAACCCAAATTCTCATTTGGATCCATGGTGATTTGAGATTCAGGGGGCAAGCTTTGCTAATATAGAGTGATTATCTCTGATAATAACATAAACCTGAGAATCAGGGGTTGAGAATAGGCTTGGGATGATCTTGAACTGGAGAGGAACTTGTAGAAAAGACAGAAGGATATTGGCTGGGGGAGGGAGCACTATTTTAGGGCAAATCCAGACTTACTGACACTTTCCATATTCTGTGCATTTCTCTCCTGGCACCTTCACTTGGAAAGTGACAAAGAGGAGAAAAACTACTTCCTGCGGTGGCCAGCAGATTTCTGTCCCTAGAGGCAGAATTATTGAATGAAAACACGGAAAGGATACTGCCTTGCCTATTCTAGAAACAGATTGGCTGCTTCTCATTTCTCTGCTGTGCTTCCCATTATCTAAGCCCAACCAGAAGCCCTACCTGGGGAATCTGCAAAATGACTTCACTGACATTTAGTCCAAGTAGCACACAGCCAAGTACATGGGACAAGTTGGGGCTGAAAAGCAACAGAAAATTAAGTCCTGTACTAGATAATCATGTAAATGTAAACCTCTCTAGGCAAGAAAAGCAGACAAAGCTGGATGTGGTGGCACATGCCTATAATCCTAGATACTTAGGAGGCTGAGGCAGGAGGATTGCAGATTCTAGGTTACCCTGTTCAGCTTAATGAGACCCTGTCTCAAAGTTTAAAAAAAATGTAAAAGGGACACAGGCTCAGTTGTCCACACCTGTAATCCCAACAGCTCAGGAGGCTTGTGAGTTCAAAGCCAGCCTCAGCAAAAGCAAGGTGCTAAACAATTCAGTGAGACCCTGTCTCTAAATAAAATACAAAATAGGGCTGGGGATGTGGCTTAGTGGTTGAATGTCCCTGAGTTCAATCCCTGGTACAAAAAAAAATGTAAAAGGGGACTGGAGATGTAGCTCAGTTGTAGAGAGCTTGTCTAGTGTGCACAAGGCCCTGGGTCCAATCCAGGTACCACAAAAAAAAAAGAAAGAAAGAAAATGAGATTTAAACAGGTGAAATAAAACAGAATAGAAGGAAAAATGGGAGGAATAAGAGTGGTATGGTTTGGACCTGGAATGTCCCCCGAATACTCATGCATTGGAGGCTTGATCCTAATGCAGCAAAGTCAAGAGGTGGGGCTTTTGGGAAATGATCACATCATGAATACTCTTACTAAGTCAGTGGATTAATTCATTTGATGGATTAACAATTTGAATGGACTACTTGGAGGGGGTGGAAAACTGTAAGCAAGTGGTGCAAGGTTGAAGGAAATAGGTCATTGGGGGCATGCCTTTGGGGATTTATCTTGTCCTGGCCCTTTCTCTTCTCTCTCTCTCTCTCTCTCTCTCTCTCTCTCTCTCTCTCTCTCTCTCTCTCTCTCTCTCTCTCTCTCCCACGAGCTGAGTAGCTTTCCTCCACCACACCCTTGTCCATGATGTTCTGCCCTACCTCAGGCCCAGAACAATGGAGCTGGCCAACAAAAGAATGAAACCTCTAAAACCCTGAGCCAAAATAACCTTCCCTCCTTTAAGGTGTCTGTATCAGGTATTTGGTCACAGAAATGAAAATCTGGCTAACACAGTGGGGAAATTAAAGAAGGAAAATAATTCAATCAGGGTCAGAAAAACAAAGGAAAAAGAAACTCTTGGAGATACAGGAATTAGAAACCTAAGTCTGTACATGCAGTAGCACCCTCAGTGGCCTGAGGGACTCACTGCACCAACAAACACCCAGAGAAGGATTTTAATGAAGCAAAGAATTCCTCTGAAACTATGTTGAGGCAAAATATCAGGTGGAAGACCCAGTGGTTCTTTCTGCAACTTTGGGATCCCTGGGAATTTCTAAACAGCCTTGAGAAAGAGGCTCACCTTCATGGCCTCCTCAGGTCCATTTTGTACCCTTCTACCATTTGTGCATCTCTTCAAGATTTAGGGAATGCTCCAAATTCAACCAAATATATTTTCCTAAAAGAGCTTTAAGTTAAAGTAATTATGTCTAATAATCTATTGAGGCACTCATGGAAAATATGCATTTACCTAATTACAGAATTTCATTTAAGGTAGACTAGTTTTAGGTCTTTCCACAGTTTTGCCTAATTGGATGTGTTTTCCAATCTTGTTTACTTTGAGAATCTCAAATTTTTTCAGCTTTCTCTTTTCATTGTGTGTGTGTGTGTGAGTGTGTGTGTGTGCTTTGCTGGGAATTAAACCCAGAGCTTCAAAAATGTTAGGTAAAGGGCTGGGGATGTAGCTCAAGCAGTAGCCTGCTCGCCTGGCATGCACGGGGCACTGGGTTCGATCCTCAGCACCACATAAAAATAAAATAAAGATGTTGTGTCCACCAAAAACTAAAAAAAAAATTTAAAATTCTCTCTCTCTCTCTCTCTCTCTCTCTCTCTCTCTCTCTCTCTCTCTCTCTCTCTCTTTCTCTTTAAAAAATAATGTTAGGTAAATGCTCTACCACTAAGCTATATCTTAAAATCCCTTTTTCTTTTAATGGCATTATTTTACTTAGCATTTATCACATATTCAATCTATAATATGTGATTCACCAAAGTTATCCATTTTAAGCTTTCTTATTTTTGTATTTTCTTACATTTTTATACTATGAGAAAATAGGTACAGCCTGAGGTTTCTAATTCCTGTAGCTCCTTGAGTTTCTTTTTTCTTTGTTTTTCTGACCCTGATTGAATTATTTTCCTTATTTAATTTCCCCTATAAATCAAGTTAGCACTCTTCTGATTTTTTCTTCCAATTTCTTACCTTATAAATGAAAACATGTGATAGATACCTAAAAGCAGTTTAGGTTACATTGTACTTTGTTTCTCACTTTTTTTTCTTTTTGGGTACCAGGAATTTAACTCAGGGGCACTTGACCACTGAGCTACATCCCCAGCCCTATTTTCTATTTTATTTAGAGACAGGGTCCTACTGAGTTGCTTATCACCTCAATTTTGCTGAGGCTGGATTGAACTCATGATCCTCATGCTTCTGTGTGGTGAGCCGCTTCTGCCGTTTCTGCAGACTATGGTCGCCATTACAAGATGACGCTGGCTCCACTGTGGTCTGTGACAAACAACTTCTTATCTGGGAAAGTTGGCACATGATTTTTCACCACCCTGTGAGAAAGCTCCACGCGGCAGCTTTGCATTGGGGCTTGGGATGCTTTATTAAGGCTGGGAGGGGCATCCGAGAGAGAGAAGAAGAAATATCAAGGGCCTGAATAAACTGCTGAAAGAAGATTCCCGAGTTGCGTCTTCCTTGCAGGCAAGGGGTCGCGACAAGTGGTGCCGAAACCCGGGAACCAGAACTTTCAGCAGTCAGGGGTGGTGCACCGGTTAGTCCCAGGTAAGTGGGATCCGCGACTAAAGCGGGGTTAGTCCCAATAAGTGGGATCCGCTATCAAAGCGGGGTTAGTCCCTAGTAAGTGGGATCCGCGACCAAAGCGGGGCAGCTCCTCTGTAAACACAGAGAGAGCCTTTCATTTTATTGCCGCTGCACTGTGTACTTTCGCTTCTACTTTCGCTTTTTTTTTTTTGTGCTTCCTTTGTTGTTGTGTCATGGGTGCCGCATCTTCAAGTCCGCTTCTCCTGGCCCTAGATGGCCTGTTGCGTTCCAAGGGTCTGGAAGTGAAACATAGTACTTTACAGAGATTTTTACAGAAGATAGATATCGCTGCACCGTGGTTTGCATTTTCGGGCAGCCTTACTGTACCTAGTTGGGATAAATTAGGCAAAGATCTTGACTTTGCTTCTGAGCAGGGCATATTAGAGGGTGGGGTGATACCCCTTTGGAAAATGGTCCATGGTTGCCTTACAGATGGCAGATGTCAGGAAGCACTTACTAAAGAACAGGAGGTTTTAGAGCAATTACATGAGGAAAAATCGGAGACGGCAGAAAGTGAAGTGACTCGGGAGGATGGGAGTGTGCGGAGCATGAGACAGGGGAGGAAACGGTTGTATCCAGATCTCAGTACGCTGCGTACACCCCCATGCGAAAGTGGGTCAGAGGAGGAGGAGGATGAGGAGGAAGAGCTCGGGAGGCTGTCTCGTCAGCTAGGGAGTTTAGCTATAGGAGAAGGGAACAAAGATAAACAAGGGCTCAAGAAAAGCGATCCCCCGGATCCACCGCCGTATGGTGGGGGCGTTTCGGGGAGAGCTTTCCATGCCCAAACATGGAGGGCTGTTCACGCTGAGATGGGTCTTGCTTATCCAGTTTTCCAGGATGACAACAGGGGAAGAGTCCATGAACCCTTAGATTTTAAAATTGTGAAGACCCTGGCGGAGTCTGTACGCACTTATGGGGTGGATGCCGCCTTCACGCTGACTCAGGTGGAGAGTCTGTCTAGATACTGTATGACTCCCTCTGATTGGGCTAGCCTTGTTAGGGCTTGTGTTTCCCCGGGTAAATATTTGGACTGGAGAGCATTTGTGCTAGAGGGCGCTATAGAGCAGGCCGCCCAAAACCATGCGGCAGGACACCCCCATTGGGACAAGGATATGCTCTTGGGACAGGGTAGATTTGCAAATCAACAGACAGGATTTCCTCTTGAGGCATATGATCAAATTAACAACATTTGCATTCGGGCATGGAAGTCGCTTCCAAATAGAGGAGAGGTGTCTGGTAATTTGACCAAGATTCTACAAGGCCCTACAGAACCCTTTTCAGATTTTGTAGCAAGGATGGTGGATGCCGCTGGAAAGATTTTTG